AGTTCTGTTCATTACCTTTATGGACAGAATTTCTAGGCGCAGCCGTGGTGTGGAGTGTGTCGAGTTTGGTGGCAGTAGAATCTCGTCTCTGCTTTTTGCGGATGATGTGGTCCTCCTAGCTTCATCCAGCTCTGACCTTCAGCTCTTGCTGGGTAGGTTCGCGGCCGAGTGTGAAGCCGCTGGGATGAGGATCAGCACCTCCAAATTTGAGACCTTGGTTCTCGACCGAAAATGGGTGGCTTGCCAACTCCGGGTCAGGAGAAAAACTCCTCCACTTGAGGTAGGACCTAAGTATCTCGGGGTCTTGTTCACGAGTGAGGGTAGGAGGGATCGGGAGATCGACAGGCGGATTGGTTCAGCGTCTGCAGTGATGCGGACGCTGAGCCGATAGGTCATGGTGAAGAGGGAGCTGAGCCAGAAAGCCAGGCTCTCGATTTACCGGTCGATCTACGTCCCAATTCTCACCTATGGTCATGAGCTTTGGGTAATGACCGAAAGAACGAGATTGCGGATACAAGCGGCCGAAATGAGTTTCCTCCGTAGGGTGGCCGGGCTCAGCCTTAGAGATAGGGTGAGGAGCTCGGACATTCAGGAAGGACTCGGAGTAGAACCGCTGCTCCTCCGGATTGAAAGGAGTCAGTTGAGGTGGTTTGGGCATCTGGTCAGGATGCCTCCTGGATGCCTCCCTGGGGAGATGTTTCAGGCATGTCCTGCCGGCAGGAGGCCCCCGGGTCGACCCAGGACACGTTGGAGAGGTTACATCTCCAATCTGGTCTGGGAACCCCTTGGGGTCCTGCCAGAGGAGCTGGTGGAGGTGGCCGGGGAGAGGATGGTCTGGTGCTCCCTAGTTGGGATGCTGCCCCCGCGACCCGGACCCGGATAAGCAGAGGAAGACGAAGACGCCGCCGCCGATATTGGGTATGAATTTTGATTCTAGACTTTTCTGCCCACCAATTGGGGACACTCAGGCACAATGAGTTAAAATTGTAACGCATATACAGTGGGACAAAAAAGTATTTAGTCAGCCACCGACTGTGCAAGTTCTCCCACTTAAAATGATGACAGAGGTCAGTAATTTACATCATAGGTACACTTCAACTGTGAGAGACAGAATGTGAAAAAAAATCCATGAATTCACATGGCAGGATTTTTAAAGAATTTATTTGTAAATCAGGGTGGAAAATAAGTATTTGGTCAACAACAAAAATTCAACTCAATACTTTGTAACATAACCTTTGTTGGCAATAACAGAGGTCAAACGATTACTATAGGTCTTTACCAGGTTTGCACACACAGTAGCTGGTATTTTGGCCCATTCCTCCATGCAGATCTTCTCGAGAGCAGTGATGTTTTGGGGCTGTTGCCGAGCAACACGGACTTTAAACTCCCTCCACAGATTTTCTATGGGGTTGAGGTCTGGAGACTGGCTAGGCCACTCCAGGACTTTCAAATGCTTCTTACGGAGCCACTCCTTTATTGCCCGGGCGGTGTGTTTGGGATCAATGTCGTGTTGGAAGACCCAGCCACGTTTCATCTTCAAAGCTCTCACTGATGGAAGGAGGTTTTGGCTCAAAATCTCATGATACATGGCCCCACTCATTCTTTCCTTAACACGGATCAGTCGTCCTGTCCCCTAGCAGAAAAAAAGCCCCAAAGCATGATGTTCCCACCCCCATGCTTCACAGTAGGTATGGTGTTCTTGGGATACAACTCAGTATTCTTCTTCCTCCAAACACGACGAGTTGAGTTTATACCAAAAAGTTCTACTTTGGTTTCATCTGACCACATGACATTCTCCCAATCCTCTGCTGTATCATCCATGTGCTCTCTGGCAAACTTCAGACAGGCCTGGACATGCACTGGCTTCAGCAGCGGAACACGTCTGGCACTGCAGGATGTGATTCCCTGCCGTTGTAGTGTGTTACTGATGGTGACCTTTGTTACTGTGGTCCCAGCTCTCTGTAGGTCATTCACCAGGTCCCCCCATGTGGTTCTGGGATTCTTGCTCACCGTTCTCATGATCATTTTGACCCCATGGGATGAGATCTTGCGTGGAGCCCCAGATCGAGGGAGATTATCAGTGGTCTTGTAGGTCTTCCATTTTCTGATAATTGCTCCCACAGTTGATTTTTTCACACCAAGCTGCTTGCCTATTGTAGATTCACTCTTCCCCGTCTGGTGCAGGTCTACAATTCTTTCCCTGGTGTCCTTCGAAAGCTCTTTGGTCTTGGCCATAGTGGAGTTTGGAGTCTGACTGTTTGAGGCTGTGGACAGGTGTCTTTTAAACAGATAATGAGTTCAAACAGGTGCCATTAATACAGGTAACGAGTGGAGGACAGAAAAGCTTCTCAAAGAAGACGTTACAGGTCTGTGAGAGCCAGAGATTTTCCTTGTTTGAAGTGACCAAATACTTATTTTCCACCCTGATTTACAAATAAATTCTTTAAAAATCCTGCCATGTGAATTCATGGATTTTTTTTTTCACATTTTGTTGAAGTGTACCTATGATGAAGATTACTGACCTCTGTCGTCATTTTAAGTGGGAGAACTTGCACAGTCGGTGGCTGACTAAATACTCTTTTGCCCCACTGTATATACGAACAACGCAACATAATATAATATAATATAGTATAATATAATATATAATTTGTATATTTCATTTTCAGGAAATTGTATATATTTAAGATTCATATAGTCTGGAAAAAAAATTGACGTCTCCTCTTTGTTTTTCCTCTGCAGCTCATTTGTGATATTTGGGACCAAGAGGGGGCCTCTAGACCGCCTGAATGGGAACTTTGTGTCCTGGTTACCAGCTCCCTCCTCCTTTATTACCCCTAACCTCAAAGGCACTAAAAAGCTCTTCAGACTGTAAATGACTAGAGAGAAAATGGACACACAGAAAGAAACGGTTTGGTAAACAGGAGGACGAGAGTTCAAGTCCAGTTTGAGCCTCAGAGAAAAAGATCATGCATGTGCTGCAGCCTGTGACCGTAAGCATGTCGAATCTATAAAGTATTAAGTTATTTAGCTGAAATATTTGCAAACGGACCATCGCACTCTTTCCAAAGAGCCAACGGTGTTACTAATTCTTTGTAAACATCTCAGACTCCTGCAGGGAAAGCAAATTCTTCACATACTTCAGCCCGTAATAATCCTATCATCTCTGCGTGCGTCCTCAGCCCTTTGAGTCTCACACAATTGTCTTCCTCGGTGGGGTGGCGAGCAACAGCGCTAATAACAGATACCTGTATGAAAGAGACAGGTCCGGTTGTGGCTCCAATGTGTTTAGGAACATTTATGCGTAAAGAAAAAAGCCTTTTTATGAAAGCTTCCTCTAAAACTCCTCCTCCTTTCTCAGAGTGTTTCGTTTTGAAACAAATCATTACCTGAGTTCATCAGTTCATCTGCATCGTCTGTTTAGACTTGTGTCCCAAGTCCACACAAGCAAGTTCAGCACAGTCTACACTCCCTAATCCCTAGATTTACACGAATAAACTGTAATCCATTCACATTTATTGACTTCATCAAAAGTGTTTCACCTAAATCTCATGACCTGGTGATCTAAATACGAGGCTGAGAACAATTGATTAATAGTTTTTTTAGAGGAAAATAATAAATCTTATTAATAATTGTGTTAAATCCAGTATTTGGACCAAACTTATGTGATTGGGAGCTAAATCTGAGATAAAGGAGGTGTTTCTTAGGGGTGAAGTCCACTTCTCTCAGGTATTTTACAGTTAGGTGAAGGTTGTATATGGAAGAAAACCAGGAAAAACAAGGAAAACTAAAGATTAAAGCTGCAAATCAGCTGTTTGGTCTAATGACTCAGGTCTTAAAAGGAAAAAATGTCCTTTTTTCCCCCCTGAGTGGGTTTTAAAATGTTTTCTGAATCATATTCCAGCCCGGTCTACAGCAGACTTCTGGGAAATCAGTGGGCAATAACCCAAGACAGCTGGGTGGGATTTGGGAAGCACATCCGGGCTTTTTGGAGGGGATTTTTGCAAATGTACATTTTTGTGAATGTTAGTTGGTGAGTGCAAATAGTAAACAAACCTGAGTCTTTTGAATGTTTTTTTTGCATCAACTTATTATTATTTGTCATATTTGCCATAACAAACACCAACCTGTGTGATTGGAAAACTGCACCGAGTTGATGGAGTCCACTTCAAAGCCCAGCACCTGGGAAAACAGAGACCAGGCAGCTGTTAAAATAAAGAACAATAAGTTCAGTAGAGAACCAGATCTGAATGGGATTTAAGTTTCACTTCACAGCGGGAACAGCACGGGAGGGAAGAACTGTATTATTGTAGCAGCAAAGTGATTCCAAGTGAGCTAATGTTCTGAAAACAAAGCATTAAACTCCCGATTAAAAACTACCTTTAAAAGCAGCTGTCAATTATTTTTCTGTCCAGGAAAAGCCTGAAGAAAAAGAAATCAGGAGGCAAAATTTTCCTGCAGTCAGATGTTTAACAAAACACAAAAACGTGTTTAAAGCTAACCAACTGTCATCCTGTTGTGATTGAATGAGATTGTGATCAATGTCCAGAAACAGATTTATTTCCATTTAACACATTTCTCTCATTGTTGAAAAATACTCAAGACTGTTGTTTATTATTTATACAGCATTTAACTTTGAACTCATTGACTTACAGCACATGTTTGTCTTTAGCTAAGTGGTTTACTGTAAAATGATATTAAACGGCCCGTTATGTGAGGGATTAAGCAAATCAGTCGTTTTAGAAAATAAGGAAATCTCCCCCTGAAGGTAAAAGCGCATTATTTCTGCCCTTTTACGAGACTGAGCCACTGTGAACCAACAACGTGAACATTAGGATGTAATTCACTCACCTGAAGGGGAAACGTTGCCGACTTGTTCCCCACGTATCCCCTGACAACATGACTCTGAATGGACAACACACGGCACTCCATTACCGCAGTTCGTGTTTAAAACTCTCCGCAAAGACAGCTGACGGGGTTTCAACCCAACACCAGCATTAAAACTCAGCACACGCACTCGCAAACTTCATGAATGAAGGGCAAGTTCAACAGCTTTGAAGGACACAAGCCGCACTACCGGTGTGCAGCTTTTCTCTGCAGGCAGCTGAAAGGACACCCAATTGATGCGTTCAATGAAGCAAACAAAATGTAGGACACACGGGTTCTCCACATATGTGTACTCCACCACTTCGTGATAGTAATTAATCTTTAAGCAGCTAGATGTGTCTGCAAATATTAATTAGGCCCGAGCAGCGAAAGCGCTGCGAAGGCCTCTTGTTTTTGCTCTGTTTATTATTTTTCTTTATTATTATTTTTTGTTATTCTCGTGCCCCTTTGAACGGCTTTTTGGGGACCTTAGCATACCCCAAAACTCACAATATTTTGCAAACTTGTCAGGCCTGGTGAAAAATTTGATATTTTAAAGGTCCCAAAAAAATCGCACAGAAAATGACTGAACAGCGCCCCCTAGAAAGTAAAAAAAAACCCTCTCCATAAAGCTTAGTTTATCGTACAGTTATGAAATTTGGTACACTTGTAGTACTCAAAAGTCCGCACAGAAAAGTCTCTTGCAAGCATGGTCAATATCAAACAGGAAGTCGGCCATTTTGGGTTGAAATGGCGATTTTTTGCCGTTTTTGCCGTTTTTAGGGTCCGTTTCTGATTGGATTGCTCGATCATTTTTCGCACGATCGTCTCAAAAATTGTGTAAAATTGCTAAGAAGGGATGGGCGAACAAAATGAGATGAGAATTCTGAGTTTTCGTATATGTTGAAGGGGCGGGGCCAGGCCTCGAAGTTTGACTACTCGCCAAAAATATTTAAATTGCTATAACTTCATAACTGAATGGAATAGAGTTACCAAACTTTCTGGGGTCATTCGTCATCCACCCACAAAGTAAATTGGATGGTCGGATGATGACATCACACAAGCCCCGCCCCCTCAGGACCAAAATGATCAAGTTTTACTGTGAAAGGTCCCAAATTGCCCCATTTCACTTAATCACCGCAAATTTGTAGCTGTTAACTCAAGACAAGTGGGGGTTGCTTGGCGTCACTTTATGGGAGTTTTCGGCAGAGGGCGGGGCTGTGGCGGCGCGGCGAATTCAGGCGTACCGCCGTGGCCTTACGTTTGCCTCCCATTTCGTCATTTCCAAAGATATCGTCACGAAACTTCTTGTGAGTGATCCTAGTCCGGCCCCCCAAAAGATCTGGTGTGAACATCTGGTGGGCGTGGCCTATTTTCTGAAATAGCGCCCCCTAGGACCATTAAAACTGTCAGCCCCAAGCCATGCTTTGACTGAGGATTACGAAATTCGGTACACTAATGTGGTGTCTCAGGACCTACAAAAAAGTCTCTTGGAGCCAAGTGCAAAGTCGCACAGGAAGTCGGCCATTTTGGTCCAAGTGCGCGATTTAGTGGTTTTCACACACGTTGTTTGGAGAGTGATACTCCGTCGCCCTTTTCACCAATCACTTTCAAACTTCTGCTATATAGTCTTAAGACATAGAGGAAAAAATTCAACCGTCGGATTTTAAATAAGTATAAAGGTGTGGGCGTGGCTAAGCCTCAAACTTTGACCTTTCGCCACGCCACTCTTTTTTTCACAGCTCCTTATTGGACTCCTTTTACCCAATCACCAGGAATCTCTGGTAAATAGCAGCAGGCAAGTTGAGGTCACTTGGTCTCCAGTACTGGAAGGTTTTGAAAAAAGGCGGGGCTTTGGGAGCATGGCGAAATTCGCCATCACGCCATGGAAATACGTTTGCCTCTCATTTCTTCATTTATTGTGATATCACCTCGACCATTGTTGTGAGTGATCCTAGTCTGACCCCCAATAGCAAAGGTCAGCTTAAGTTTGTGGGCGTGGCCTATTTTCTGTATTAGCGCCCCCTAGGACCATTAAAACTGTCAGCCCCAAGCCATGCTTTGACTGAGGATTACGAAATTTGGTACACTAATGTGGTGTCTCAGGACCTACAAAAAAGTCTCTTGGAGCCAAGTGCAAAGTCGCACAGGAAGTCGGCCATTTTGGTCCAAGTGCGCGATTTAGTGGTTTTCACACACGTTGTTTGGAGAGTGATGCTCCGTCGCCCTTTTCACCAATCGCCTTCGAGCTTCTGCTATATACTCTTAAGACATAGAGGAAAAAATTCAACCCTCGGATTTTAAATAAGTATAAAGGTGTGGGTGTGGCTAAGCCTCAAACTTTGACCTTTCGCCACGCCACTCTTTTTTTCACAGCTCCCTATTGGACTCCTTTTACCCAATCACCTGGAATCTCTGGTAAATAGCAGCTGACAAGTTGAGGTCACTTGGTCTACAGTACTGGCAGGTTTTGAAAAAAGGCGGGGCTTTGGGAGCATGGCGAAATTCGCCATCACGTCATGGCAATACGTTTGCCTCTCATTTCTTCAATTATCGTGACATCGCCACAAAATGTCTGGTGAGTGATCCTAGTCTGACCCCCAATAGAAATGGGCATCTGAGATTTGTGGGCGTGGCCTATATTCTGAAATAGCGCCCCCTAGGACCATTAAAACTGTCAGCCCCAAGACAAGGTTTGACTGAGGATTACGAAAATTGGTACACTCATGTAGGGTCTCTGGCCCTACAAAAAAGTCTCTTGGAGCCAAGCGCAATTTCGCACAGGAGGTCGGCCATTTTGGTCCAAGTACTCGATTTAGTGGTTTTCGCACACGTTGTTTGGACATTGATGGCCCGTTGCCCTTTACACCGATCACCTTCAAACTTATGCTATGTACTTTTAAGTCAAAGGGGAAAAAATTCAACCGTCGGATTTTAAATAAGTATAAAGGTGTGGGCGTGGCTAAGCCTCAAAGTTTGACCTTTCACCATGACATTACTTGACTTAATAACTCCCATGTGCATGATCAGATCTAATTCAAACTTTGTCTGTGTGATCACTGACCACATCTCAAGATAACGACAATGTGGACAGCTGACATCACCTAAGCCCCGCCCCCTGACAACAGGAAGTCTATTGTTTTATGGTGAAATGCCCATATTTGTCCCCTCTAATTTAATGAAAATGACACTCAGGTCATACAGTGTCTTCATGATGTTTTAAAGACCATTCAGATCTGATAGCTTTCCAGAAAGGGAGGGGCTTTGATGCCATGGTGAATGCTGGCGTGATGCCATGACCTTACATTTGACTGTAACTTCCACAAACGGCCTCCGATTTGCCCGAAACTGAATATGGCAATGAACAATCATGCCCTTTAGCCAATGAGGCACAAACGGTTGGTGAATGTTATATAATGTCACCAAAGCTGACCTCAATGGGACTTTTCTGTAGTTGGTCACAGCGCCACCTAGATAACGTTATCCTTCGATAACTTTAAAAAACATGGTCAGAATAGCATTAAAGTTGGTCACTGTCATCACACCACCAGTGTGGTAAAGATAGAGGATTCCCTAGTGGTGAGACATAAAATATAATGGTGGGCTCAAAGGGGATGCTGAGTCAGGGTGAGTTGCGGACAAGGTGGCCGTTAGCAGTTTCTGGTGTTGGGGTGGTCGACGTTTGTGTTCTGCGGACGTGCCCTGGTGCCCCGGGCTGCCGGCCAGGCCGGAGCGGCGCGGAGCTGCGAGGGCCGAACGACGCTGCTTGCAGCTTTAATTATTGCTACTCTTATTTGGGTAGAGGCTATTCTAGTTACTTCACTGAATGTAAATCAAACAGGTTTTAATCAGAAAAGACACAGACAAATATTTACAGTAAGGTCTAGACTGGCTGTAGCGGATCTACCATAAATAGTTTATATAATCAGTGGAAGTGCCTGTGAATATTAAAGATTGGGATGCTTGATATTGTCTTTTTTACAGTCTGGGATGCTTGATATTGGCTTTTTTACCGATGTCCGATATGCCGATATTGTCTGACTCCTAATTTCCGATACAATATAAACCAACACCTCTCCACCCCTTAAAAAAAACTAAAACATTTGAGGTTACTAACATCACATTTCTATCCTGCATGCTTAAATTTCAAACACTCACATGCAAAATGACAATTAAATTTAAATTTAATTTAATTTAGTAACAGGAAAAGTGTCATATTTATTTTGTCTCCAACAGCAGTTGATTCTTATTCTTTCTAAGCGTGGCACTAAGTTGTGTGTTTCAGTGATGCATTTTTTATTCTTTTTACAGTATGTATATTGCAGCTATGAAAAAACATTTATAAAGATCTTTCGTTAAGAAAAACAAGCCTTGGGTGAAGATTCTTTGTTTTGTTTTAGCTGCTGTTAGCTGGCTAGCTACATGTGCTGTGAGGACAGCTTCACTAGGGCACAAATCTACTTCACAAGTTGTGCCCATCGGTTGTGCCAAATAAACTAAAATATCTCAAAAACTTTACCTGAGACCTGTTATATTTAGACATTTTAGAGTTGTGTCAATAAAAGACAGAAAACCTCTACTGATATTTTCTAATATTAAATTTTAATGCCGATATTAATGATCGACCGATCATGTCGGACATCCCTAGTTAAAATACACTGAATACATATTAATATGTCTGCTTAAAAGACAGCCTATTTAATAAAGACACAACTAATGAATGCAAACATGCACACGTGTGAACAAAATAGTTTTAGTGGATAAGTCAGCGTATAAAATGCAATAGGGTCAATTGTGGAAAGGTTTAGAACAAGATTGTTAAATTAAAGGTAAATACTGTTAAATTTCAGGTTCACAACTGTGTTCATCAAATGGCTGCTTCTTCTTATTATCTCTGCTTCCCTTAAATATTATTTTTTCTACACATATTGCAAAAAAACCTTAAGCATTCATGCTGCATCATCCTTGATTCGTTATAAAATATTTCCCTATAATTATTTTAAAGTGCAGTAAGTCACATTTGACAGTTTCTTGTTGGTTTAGATCTCTGAATCACAAACGCAACATACTACTACCACTAGAGAGTGCTAACTGGACAATCACTTCACTTAAGTGAACTAAGCAGAAACATCTACAGGGTGACAACAATGCTGAGATATTTTAAATGTAAAAGTATATGTAAAAGTAGTAATTGTGAACTGGAATGAATAAAGTATTTTTTGCTACAATCGTATCATATGTCTACTATTCAAACATTGAAGTGCTGAATACACTCAGCTGTGACTTGAGGGAGAGAAGTAATCCACGAGCTTTCCCGCCTTTCACAAAAACACGCCAGTCTTCAGACTGGGCCGGCACATGCTTTACCCGACCCAAAGTGGCCGTGAAAAAGAATCAATCTAATCATGTGAAAGCTGGAGGAGAATTGCAGTAATTCTGCACAGAGGAGAGAGAAGGGCCGTCTTGGTATGAAGTGTGGGTGAGAGGATTTAAGGAGGTGCAGCTCGACTGAACAGAACACAAAGCACACTGCCTCTGACACCTGGGCGAGAAGCACAGAGGCCACACAGAGAAGAGCACGAACCAGGTGGATGAGCTGAATGCTAATCATCAGTAACGTGCCCACGGGGCACCTGCAGAGTAAAACTTTTGAAACAGGCTGACTACTGTGGTGGAAAAATTATTAACAAGAGCCCCGGTGAAAGGATTAAAAGAACTTTAATGATTCTTGTGCACAAGGGAGAACATGCACACAGCAACAACGACTTGCTCTGGGTCTGCTCTGATTAGAGTAGATTTTGTCCTGTGGAGACAACGAGATATTTCATCTGGAGGCTTGACTGGTCTGCTGCAAACGTCAGCTCGGTCCTATTAAAGCTGCCCTTGAAAACAGAAGTTAATGGCAAGTTTGCCTGACCTTTCTAGTCTGGAGCAAAGGTTATTAACATCTAGTCTTAGCACACAAAGCATGAGAATAAAAATGCTCTGTTTACATAATAATCCTGTCAGCTGTGAGACAGATGTGCGTGCGTCGGTGCAGTTTTGTCTTTAGTTCTGGAGAAATCCTCAAAAATAGCACAACCATAAAGTAAAAACTCTTTAATTAGGTCATGAACTGCAAAACCAAAATAATGCAACATGGAATGTAAAATAAAAACTTAAAATGTTGAAAAACTTCAAATGTATTACAGGATTGTGCTTTACAATTCAAGAGGATTTGAGGATTGCGTTATGACGACAGCAATAATCCTCGTCAGTGTTCGGCAGTTATTGACGGGTTGTTGCAGCCACCTGCTGAGGGAAAGAGTTCAGAGTAGCATTTAGTACTGGAGCTTTGTGTTTACTAGGAAAAGTATTGTTGTTTTGGTACTGAAAGGCCTACAGAGGTGTGTCATCCAAATAGAGAGGTGCATGGAAATGCATTTCAGTGATAATTTCTTGCCACAATTTTGAGATTACATTTTAAATCACCTTTTTATCTAACAGGTGAAAGCTAGTTAAAAAGTAATCTGTAACACTTTACAATAAGGGTCCCCTTATTAATGTTACTTAGTGCATTACTAAGCATTAATAAGCAAAGGATCCTTTATTAACTTTACTTAGTGCATTATTAAGCAATAATAAACAAATGATCCCTTCATTAATGTTTCTGATATTAATGATTAGCTGTCCTTAAAGTTATAGGACAAAGGGCCAGTGGTGTGCGTCTGCTTAGTAATGCATTACTTATTAAACAGTTGTTAGTAGTTAAAAGTTTATTAATGCTTAATAATGCACAAAAGTTAAGAAAGGGACCCTCATTCTAAAGTGTTGCCAAATAATTAATATTGATATTTTATATGTCTGCTGCTTTGGGAGGATCAGATTGAAACACGTGTCTTAAAAAAAACGTACCTGAATTATTTCTTTCTGCAACATTTTTATGAAATATCAGTACATTCACTTTTTCACATTTTATTGTGAAACTAGAATTGATTGTAGCGTAATACAATATTTAATTACTAGGAACAAGGGACACTTTACAAGATAAAACAAGACCCAAAATATAAAACTGTTTAGAGAGTAAATATAAAGACGTATTAAGTTCATATTACATTATTTTTGCCAAACTCTGTTTATTTTAGCTTTTTATATTCGAACATCGTTTGAAGGTCGACACGTGGCTAAATGGTGAATTTAGATGGGCTCTGGCTAATATCTGGAGCACACCCACGGGACCGTGGCTCTCCAGGTCATTACCTGTCCTCTTATCGGTTAGTCGGCTCTTCTCTCCGGATATCCCTCCGCCCCGAGCAGCGGAGTAGCGGGTCCGTGTGGCTCCGCCTCAGAGTAGCCGGCGGGGAGGAGCCAGGTAGCGGCCAGACTGACACGTAACAGAGCGGCGTAAAATTTTAAGGAAGAAGCTGCGTCTTTTCTATTGACTCCGGATCACCACCACCTCCTCCTCGCGTCACACTTGATGAGCAGTTGAGGCGTCCCGGTCCTGGAGCCCCTAGGAGCGCCTCGAAAGCGACCGAAGCGGGATCGTTAGGCAGGGAGAGCCGACGCTTAAAATGAGATTTTCAGTGTTTATTTCTGTCCTGCGGTCGCTCGGCCCGGTGGTAATCGGCATTTCATTGGGCTTCACGTTGAGTTTGTTGAGCGTGAGCTGGACGGAAGAAACGTGTCCTCTCGAGAGCCAGGAGGGCGGTGATGTGACTTCAGGTCAGGATGGACTGCTCAAAGGAGCCCGAAAGCCCAACTCCGTTTCGGCCGGGAACGATGCGGAGTCCGGAGAGGATTTTGAACCAAGAATAGTCCCTTACAAACAAGTCCAGCCTGCTGCCCCAAAGAAAGTCTTCAGGTAAATTGTGCCAGCTGCTCCAGCTCACTAGAGACCACTGTAGTTTATTATAAAGTTAATTCTGGTTCAACCTAAAGTTTCACTCTAATGGAATAAATGATGATCCCTCATTATAATATAAAATAAATGTGTCGCAGGTTCATCTAACAAGCGTTGCTCACATTTTCCCAAATCTAATTCCTGTAGGAATGATGACAGAATGTGAATGAAACGTACTCACCCCCCCTGCTGTTTTCTGCTCACCAACACTGATCAGACCAGAACTGAGGCTGGACTGTATGCCCACACGCTGAAGGACATCTAACTTACGTTTTCTTCACATGCGGGCAAACATTTCCAAGAACGTATGGATAGAGACCCTGTTCGAATGTTAATTCCTGCACCCAGAGTGGCTGAACTTCATTCCAGTTCCTCAAAATATCAGTTATACCTGGAGGAAAATCAGATAAAAAACTTTGACAGGTTGACTAATTGCCAAAACTTGGTGGATAAAGAAGCATTTTTACAACTTAGACGTATATTTTTTGTCTAATCGCCAACTTTAGTATTTCAAAGTGGTCAAAACGTTCATGCCACTGAATAAGTAAGTGATTAAGTAATGATGCACCAAAGTAAAGTTCTGTTGAGGTAAAACTAATCCAGACAGTTCTAGATAAGAATGACAAAGGAAAATAGTAAATTCTCTCTGGGATTTGTAAAAATGCCTTTGCCTTTCACTTGTTGCTGGTTACTCTTCTCAGTTTCAGTGATTATTCATCAAAGAGGCGTGCCTCTATTACGGGCCGTTATTGATGCCACAGGGAATATGATGAGGAAACAAAAGGGAGGCTAGGCCGTGGGCAGTGATGAGCCGTTTAACAGGTCCAAACATGTTAAATGTTCCAAAGAGACAATGTCTTTTCATGTGTCCCAGGTTATTTAAAACGTTTTCAAGGGAAACTTGTGGTATCAGTTTATCTTCCAGGTTATAAAGGTTTTTCCTAGGACATTAGTGCTAAAGTGATTAAAGAAAAAAGTCTGTTACTCTGGAAAACCTGACACTGTCTGATGTGTTCTTTCCAGGGCTAAGTACATCAGCACAGAGTTGGGGATGCGAGAGCGCCTGTTCGTTGGGGTTCTAACATCTAAAAGCACCATCAACACTCTGGGCGTAGCTGTGAATCGCACCATAAACCACCACTTCGACACCGTGGTCTTCTTCACTGGCTCCCGCAACCGCAAAGTCCCTCACGGCATGTTTGTGGTTTCCCACGGAGACGACAGACTCATATGGAACATGTTTCAAACCATCAGATACATTTTTGATCACTACATCAATGAATATGACTGGTTCTACTTCATCCAGGACGATGCCTACACAGAAGCGGACAGGATCAAAACCCTGGTGGAGCACCTGAGTATGGATCGAGAGCTTTACCTGGGCAGGCCTGAGGAGTTCATAGGTGGGGAGATGGAAGGGAAATATTGCTATGGAGGGTTTGGGTACCTCCTGTCCCGTAGCTTACTTATACGACTCCAGCCCTTCCTGGAAAACTGCAGGAACGACATCCTGAGCTCCAGGCCAGATGAGTGGCTCGGGAGATGCATCATTGATTACACCAGCTCAAACTGCGTTAGTAAGTTCGAGGTAGGTTCACGGTAATCCTGCAAGAGATTCACAATTGTCCTTTCTTTCAGGTGGCGTAAATGGCAATGTTAAATGTTTACATCTGTTTCCTCTAGTTTAAATGTTTCAAGCTGCTGCTGGTGGTGGCGGAGCAACAGGAAGCAGTTTACGTCGGAATGAGTGTTGAACTATAGAGAAGAGATGCTTGGAGGTTGTGATTCGGAACAGCTGTGTGATCGGTTACAGCAGGGGTTCTCAGAAATACGTTACTGTCCCTTTAGAACTCATTTGTTGCCTCCGGGGCGGCACTTAACACTGACAGACAGCTATATAGAACTGTAATGACTACATTGGCAAATACATGGTATTTGTATTACAGAGTAGAGAGCTAATACCCTTTAAGTTTCCACAGCACTGGGGGGCAATGTGGAATAAGTAAACAGGCTAGGAGGGCAGAAGGTTCAGCTTAGGTTCCAGTGGTGTGAAAATCCCCCGTGGGTCAACATGCTCTGCTCCTATAATGTCATTAGCATTTAAGGTCAAACAAGCTTTGTCCCACTGCCTACAAGCCTTTTTGTGCCTTTCAGCATTTATTTTTTTTCATAATTCTTTAGGGATGCCCAAATACCAATACTAGCATTGGGTATTGGCTTGACACTATGCTTGTGTACTCATACTCACTTCTTGTATGACAAATGTCTTGTAGGACACTGTTTGTAGTTCAAACTGGATGGAAAAGACAGAAAAATTGTACTTTTTATTTTGAAGCGATGATGTCTGCTGACAGATACTGCCTTGTTGTACATGGCAAGCTAGTTTAAACAAAAGTTATTGCCCGTTTCAAATCTAAATGTAAAACTAGCATGTTGTTTCTGTTGTACCAAACCGCGACTTAGGCTAATGGAGTTTATTAGCACTCAGTATCGGCAAGTACTTAACTTATACTTGCGTTGGAAAAACGGATGATTGGTTCATCCCTTTAAGTCTTACTAGAACTACAGAACGATGACTTGTTATCCAGTACATACACAAGCCAAGAAGTTGACACGTTCATTAGATCTTTTAATGTCTTCCTTGGATTCAACCCAGAGCAGGAAGCCATCTTGGTGCACAACTGAGAGGGAGTTACTTGGTTATCTGAAGTGCCCTGAGCCAGAGGAACTTCAGTGGAGTCACTCAGATAAAGGAGAGAAGCAAGGGGGAAGTTAACAGGCCTGAAATGGTAAAGAAAACAGCTTGAACACTGAGCCAGACAACATTTTCTCTTTCCAAAAGAGAACATTGATGCCAGTTAGGCACAGACAATGCTTCGCTAAGTGTACAACTACAAGCTGTAAGCTGTTGGCAAACATTTGCAATAAAGAGGCCTCGCTGCTTAGTTGAGCAGCGTTCCTATTCTTTGTTCTTTTAATAGCTTCATCAGATTGGGTTCGCTTTTAATAATCACTCAAACCCTTTAGGTGGTGACTCTGTTTCCAGCTTGAGTGATACGATTCTGCTGCTAGGTCATACCAATTCATCTAGTTTCACTCTTAAAAATTTGTTTAAAACAATTTTTTTTTCTAATAAAGAATGAAAACTAATGACCGAAATGTTGCATTGGCTGTATTTGCAGAAGCGTTAGGTTTATTCTTGAAGAATCATTTTACTGAGCAAATTCACAAAGCTGTCCATTTGCGGTGAAGATGAACCTAAAACCGTCTCCATGGCGTCTGCTGTGTGTTGGAGAGGAAGTCACACTGCAGAACAACTGAGCTTGAAATAACATCTGGCATGTGTCTTTCATGGCATCAGACCTCGTGAAAAGACGTCTCTGTTTTCTTTTCAGGGCCTTGAGTACCACCATTACCAGCTCGGAAAAAACTATGATCCCAATAAAGAACAGAGTGAAGAGTTCAAGAAAGCTCTGACTGTTCATCCGGTGTCTGACCCTGAACAAATGTACCGGCTGCACAGATACTTCTCTGAGATTGAACTCCAAAAGACTTACGATGAGATTGCTAAGCTGCAGGTAAGCAGATTGCCCAAGAGTCACGAATCACCTGTGGGTCACACTGAGAAAATATCCTAGTTCCTTTTGTCTGACTGGTATTATTTTAGTGCCTCTACATTGATTTTTTTTCTCTCCATTGTACGTTTGGGATGAGTTAAGTATGATTTTAAACACTTTTCATCTTTTTACAGGCAGAGATAAAAAATGTCAGCATTCTCGCTTTTGAAGGCAATCGAAGTGCCCAGTGGCCTGTTGGGGTCAACCCTTCTTTTGAGCCTAAATCCCGGTTTGAAGTTCTGAAGTGGGAATACTTCACAGAAGAAGAGATTTATTCATGCATCGATGATTCTCCAAAGTGTGAGCTGCATGGCATTGATAAAATGGAAGTAGCAGATGTCATTGACACAGCTATAGAGCAGCTCAACAAGAAGTACATGCCTGTCTTACATCTTAAGAAGCAACAGCTGATTAATGGCTACAGGCGCTTCGACCCCACGAGGGGGATGGAGTACACCTTAGACCTTCAGCTTGAGGTTGTTAATCAGAAAGGTCGCAGCCGGTCCATCACCAAGAGAGTCCACCTGGTGCGACCTTTAAGCCACATAGAGATCATTCCAATGCCCTATGTCACTGAAGCTACAAGGGTTCACATCATTATACCTCTGATTTCGGAAGACCGGAGTTATGTCAACCATTTCCTGGAAGGTTTTGCCTCCAATGCCTTTGAGACGAGTGAAAATGCAGTCCTGACATTTTTGTTCATTTATGACCCGGAGGAGGCTCAACATGTGAATCACGATGATATTTTTGCCGATGTTAAGAATCAGATAAATGTTTATGAACGAAAATATCCAGCCGTGAAAATCCCGTGGATAAGTGTGAAAACAGAAATCCCATCGCAGATCAAATTCATGGACATCATCTCAAAGAAACACCCTGTTGACACTTTGTTCTTCTTGGCCCACATTAACACGAACATCAACGCAGAGTTCTTGAACCGCTGTCGCATGAACTCAATAAACAATTGGCAGGTGTTCTTTCCCATCCATTTTCAGGAATACAATTCTGACGTGGCCTATCACAACCAGCCACGTCCAGCCACGGTGGACCTGGTGAAGGACGCCGGACATTTTGACCGCAGGTCATTTGATGAAGCCTGCTTTTACAACTCAGACTACATGTCAACACGGTCTCGAATGGTGGAAGATGTCCAGGAGAATGAAGATCTTCTAGAGAGCCTGGACATCTATGAAATGTTTGTAAAGTATTCAGGTTTACATGTTTTCAGGGCAGTGGAACCTGCCTTACACCAGCAATATCGTTACCGATCCTGCAACCCAAAACTCAGTGAAGACCTCTATCACAGATGTACACTGAGCAACATGGAGGGCCTTGGCTCGCGATCCCAGCTTGCAATGCTGCTGTTTGAGCAAGAACAAGGAAACAGTACTTGAAAATGCCAGATAAAATCTGCTCCTGCACGATTTTACATGGAGGATGGGGAACGTTGAATAAGAGGCAACAAGTCTACCGCCACTTTTAAACTAAACCCTACACTTTTCATAAACACAGCCCACGTTTGAGGCAGTGGGATGTTCTCCACTGTGCTTTAAGGACTATTTGGTTTATTAGATCTCATAGCTTGTTTCTGTTATGATTGTTCTACTTTCATGAGGAAACTGAATCTTGAGTTGCTAAAAAACCAAATGCTTTTGCTTTTACAAAGTTTGGAAATTGTGTTAGGCAATTTTTTTACCACTAGAGGGGGAAAATTCAAGAGGCAGACTTGTTGTTTCGATGGTGATTTATGACGTGGCGAGCACTCCTTTTCCTAGAGCAAACTGGGCTGAAATTGGTAATGGCTTTGGTCATCACCAGGAACGGACTCCAGTGAGGTTAAGAGCATCAGAAGCAAAGTAAGAAAGGCCTTGACTTTTCCACATAACCAGCAGAAAAGGGCTACACGAGACGTTTTTTTCTACATGGAATGTATCGCATGTTTGATTCACAAACTGCTGAATGAAAATTGTGGTTCTCTACAATTTGCCAAACAATACGTGAGCTAAAGTGCTGGGTACAGCTGCTCATGATTCGGTGGTAAAATTACGAGTGGGGTGGGCAGTAAAATCAATTAACCACAACAATGAGAGGCTGTGAGTGCTAATAAACTGTTGTGGGTGTTGCTTTTCACTGGGGTCATATCCTTTAGAGAACACCCTTCAGTTTAACATCAGCTGTATTTTAAATTGGATGTTAATGTCAACCTCTGATAGATTGACATTGGTATGTTGCACCACTATTTGGGTGCCCCCCTTCTCACAAGGGCATTCTGTTTTTAAACTTTTGATACTTAACTGGTTTGAGTATTTACAAAAGTGTATCTTTGCATAATGTGCCTTTGACAAAGATCTTCCCTATGCTGCCTGTTTTTACATTGATATTTTGGTATTGCTACGACTGTTTTAAATGCATGGGAGAGTTGCTGTGGATGAAGCCTGTTACAGCTGGGAGACTGAAGAGCTTCTTGGTTTATTTAAAAAAATATGGCACACTCGGACATGTGATGAATGCAACCATCTGCAGGCTGTAAAAGTGCCTGAAAGCAGGGAGGAGTTCTCCGGGAAGTGTCTGCTGGTTTTCATAAGCAATACATGAAGTGGCTGATCACGTCGTTTTCCCCTTGAACACTTCTACTGGTACGAGAACATTTACAAGCGTAGGAGCCTTATGAATACTTTTGGGAAATCACTTTGATAAATGTCTGAATGCAAGCATTAGTTTTATAAAAGCTTTTGGTAACACTCTATAATAAGGGTCCTTTTTTAACGTTACTTATTGCATTATTAAGCATTAATAAACTATTAAATAAAGTATTAACAACTGCTTAATCACATCATGTAATACATTACTAAGCAGACACTCCCCCTGGCCCTTTGGCCTAACCTTAAGGATAGTTAACAGTAATGTTAATAAAGGGACCCTTTGTTTAGTAATGCTTAATAATGCACTAAGTAACGTTAATAAAAGGACCCTTATTGTGAAGTGTTACCAAGTTTTCAACTGAAGTAAGGTATTTCAATATTTTGTTTATCTGTTCCAAAGTACTTTAGTCTGTTTCATAATTTCAATGTCTTTGTCCTCAAGTTGTCGGGATGTCTGCTCTCTTCCAGATGTTTTGTGAAATGCGGTAGGAGGTTATGGATGTAGTGGTACTGAACAACATTTAAGTTATTAGTAGATTATAATGTGCAATACTACAGACGATACAGCTGAGTTGGCAGCTCCTAATGGACAAAACTATTATTTTCAAAGACATTTTTGACTCAAGTGCAGCGGCGTGTACATCACAGTGCTGTCCGTGACTCATACCTTCTGTTTGATGCAAAGTGAATACACTGTAATTTCTTCGACAGGCCCTTATAATGTATTCTGCTCTCACTAGACACTTTTTTCTCCTTCAAATTTACTTTGATATGCATAAGACCAAGCAGACTCCTTTTATTTAACCATAATTGGATTTAATATACAGTATGTGTTGGTTGGATGCACTACAGCAGCAGTGGTGGTCCCTAAGCAGTGTTTTTACTGTATTATATGCCATGTGAACACAGAGCATTGAGGTTGTTTTTTAGTAACTTTTTTCTTTTTTAACGCATCTCTTTTTTTCAAACATGAGAGCAGTTTTTTTTCTTGTGGCAGTGCACCTGCTAGCCTAGGATGAATGTTTAATAAGGATTGGAAATTGAGTCTTCCAACAAAAAGAATCACTGTGAAAGGAGGCTGAGATTACAATATGAAGTTACTGAGTTGTGTTTTTCTTTGCCTTCTGTAGATATGAAAGGCCTGAAATAAAGGGAGAAGGCAGAATAATGGTCCTGTTTTGTTTCCATAGCCAACATCGCTGAGCGAAGGCTCCTTCGTATTTTTGTCCATAATTTATTTATCTGTCACATCTCCTGAATTACACCGATTCTTAATACTTCTGCACTAACAGAGGCTTTCATGACATTCTTTGTACATTTATAAAACTTCTTATAGGTATTTTATTTTTGTTTGTTAGTTTTTTCATAGCAAGTTATATTTTATTATATTTTTGGCAAAATCGTATGGAAAAAGCACATGCGTTATTGTATTTTGTGGTCCCAAAATCATGTCATGAGTTGTGTGTATTTTACTTGTTACATTAATTCACTGCGGAAAACAGAAAATAACCAAGGCTGAAGTTTTTAATGTCCACGGGTACTCCGAAAGAAAGAAAACCAAAGCAGTCCAGTTTTGTTAATGCACATGACAAGTAACTAAGTGCTGTAATTCTGAATAAACTGTGAATTATTGTAATTTAAAAAAATAAAGATTTTTTAAAGTATATATGCTTGATTTAATTGTTTGCAACTTTAAAACATAGGAATAAAATGGGGTTTGCTTTTCACCTACAAATTCCAGTTTGTCCTTTAGGTGTCAGCATAAGAACACGTTTCCTGTCTGCACCACAGGTTCAAGACCTGCCTATTATTAACAGGGAAGTGCACGACGGCTGCTACTAAACATAGAAAAATCCCATTTCCAACACGTGGAAATATTAGTTTTTGTTCCTTCTGACTTGTTCTTCCAAAGACTGCTGTCAACATTCCTGCTCGTGTTCGAGCCGAGGTATTCCTGATGTCTGGGTTGGGTAAAAACAGGGAAAATGTTGCGACCTTAATTACAGCTTTAGTTATTTCGAGGGTCTACATGCACAGCCCTTAGGCATGCTGTAAAACCACATAACTACAGAGCAGTAGGGTTTTAATTGTTAGTCATTATTTTGTACTTCGTTTCACGTTCAATCCCAGGACTTTCTCTTCCCTCGTGGGCACACAGTTGTTTCAAGTCCCAAAGACACTGGCACTGGAAAAGAAGGAATAATTTCTCGCCCTTTTATTGTTTTAAACTCTGTGGGTCACCTTGACAATACTGAAGCAATATTACACAAGTTAGGGGAAACAGGAACCGTTTTGACTTTAAAATTGTCCCATTTTGCTCAAAAACAACAAAAATCATATTTATATAATAAAAAAAAATTAGAGTTTCTTTCAGCATAAACCTTAATTGCCATATTCACATTTAAAAAATCCTCTCTAACTTTGGAAAAATTAACACAAGATCCAACATTTACACATGAGTAAGGAATGTTTTTGTGCTGGGATGGTCCATTTCTGTTAGATACGGGAAGACATTTCTCTTTGTGAAACTTGACAGGAGCTTGCATCAACTTCAGCTTGTGTTCTTTTCCCAAGCAACATTTGGTGTACAGAAAAAAAAGTATAATTAAAGTGGACCGCACTGAGAAACCGTTTTTTATGTATTATTTTAGAAAATGATTAGTCACTCCGAGCTATTCACTAGTGATGGGAATTCCGGCTCTTTTTAAAGAGCCGGCTCTTTCGGCTCCCAAGTGGCTCCTCAGATTTTCTGTTGCGTAGAGTACATTTATAACCAAAATAATGCTAAACTATATGTAAAATAATTTACTAATGTAAAAAAAAAAAGCAATATATTAAATATTTATCATTTCTATGGATTTAATAACTGAACACTTTAAGAAATCTCCACTTTCCGACTGCTGGCGCTCATTTTCTTCGTCGCACTCTCCTCCCTCTCGCTCACCTTTTTCCTCCTCCTCATTCCCTCTCGTCTCCCTCCTCCCGCATGTGCTCTGCTGTGTATCTGTCTGAGTCTGATCCTCCCTCTTCCCCGTCCCTACTGCTCTGTGTGTGGATAGTCTGGACACGCAGTTACACATGTTGACCATTCGCCTGTAGCTTTCACCAAGGCAAGGGGGGGAGGGGAGGGGGCGGCTCCCAATGACGAGCCGGCTCCCGTCGTTCACTTCAAAGAGCCGGCTCTTAGAGCCGGTTCGTTCGCGACTGACACATCACTACTATTCATGCAGGCTAAGCATGAAAATATTCTTCTACACATCTCCTGCATCATCTTAAAGAATAGACAGTGAAACTCTAGGATTTAAAACAGATCTACGTCACACTGTCACTATATTCATGAACTCACTCATCTTAACTCACTTTGTGGAAAGCTGTTGATGGTTTAGCATCCAGGAAACACTTCTTCTTGGCTAGTAGAAGCTAAACGTTAGCATTAGCAACTTCACCACACAGCAGAATTCCTCCATGCTTGTGTTATTTGTGGAGATACAACATCAACGTGGCAGAGCAAACAAATCAGTGATAGAGTCATGTTGATGTTACCAGTCAGAGGTGAAATGTGTAAATATCTACAAATTCTGTTGTCTGAAGCTACTTTCTTTTCTGGCTGAAATCTCAGCGCTGAAACAGGCACACCTGAGCCCCCCCCCCCCCCCCTCCCCCCCCGAGTACAACTTACAAGGTGTCCGTTTCTACTATACCACTGATGTTTTATCTCCACAGATACCACAAGTCTGTAGAAGCTTCTTCTGTGTGGTTGAGTTGCTGTTGTTAACGGTTAGCTTCTGCTAGCCAAGATGTTCAATGCAGTTTCCTGGATGGAAAAAGAACCGCCTTCCCCATCATGAGCCAAGATGAGTGAGTCCAAGTGACCATTTGATGCAGATCTGGCCGGCTTTTAAAATTCTAGCATTTCATCATTTATTTTCTATCAGAAGCTAATTCAGGAGATAGGTGCAGGACACCATTTTCATGTTCAGCCTGCAAGAAAAACTCAAAGTGACTGTTTATAATAAAAAATACGTAAAAATGGTTTCTCAGTGAAGGACGACTTAAGAGTATTTATTTATTTGGGTTTATTTTTTTTTAGAGTTCGACACCTTTAAACAAAATGTCAGATACTTCGAATTTACCACCCCTGGCCAGTGAGATTCAGTTTACTTTATTTATATTGAAATAAGCACATACAGGGTAGACGCTGTGAGTGGAAGATGGGAACTCGGATAAGAAGCTTGAGGAATTCCAGTAACGTGAGCTACATGTCAAGGATTAGAAGTGTTCCCCCGTTACACATCACACACACATACACACACATACACACACACACACACACACACACACACACACACACACACACACACACACACACACACACACACACACACACACACACACACACACACACACACCTACGCACACATCTGATGTTAAATAAGCTCTTCAAGCTCACCAATCTGTCATCTAAAAAGGTTTTGGACTCAGAATTAGCTAAGTTGGGTCTTAATGTGCCGCTGATGAACATTTTTATTTATTTATTTTTCATACATTGACTCCATTCAAGTAAAAAAGGTAGAGTGATAATTCTGTCCTGCATTCAGCTCGACACCCCGGCCCTGGTGTGACTTCTCTGAGGATAGCTACAATTATTGATGACAGAGGGGAAGATTGCTATGCATAGCCCGTACAGGATGCCATCAGAGACCGTGATTGGGAACCTTTTGAAAATGTCAAAGTGACACATGATTATGAATATTAAACAGCCATGTATAGCACATGATTACTGGGAAGAAGGAGGGGATTTGAGAGATGGAGACAGGAATCTCATTGTGAGCCGTAGAGATTCATGGCGAAACTGCAGCAACAGCATATATCAGTCAAATTAACAGGAAAAGAAATTCAGTCATGTATTGACACAGAATTAAATAGATTATATATTTTTAAATTAGATTGTCTGCCAACGTGTGTCCCATCTTATTTGTTTCCTCATGTTTTGATTCTCTTAAAATTTTAATTTTTTAGACCTTTGCATGAACAGAATAACATAAATGACTCGTTCCAGTCCAAACTGCAGCATTTTTCTTCTCGTGCTGGAAATGTTCACCCAAACAAAACCATTTCTGGTGACTCATAGGTTACACAGAGGTGACGGCACATATTTCAACACGTGGACTGATGACGACTTAAGTCATTGATAAGCACAAATAAATCAAGTTTGTTTATTTCCTGCAAACGAATGAAGACGCTGCAAAACGGAAAATGTGACCCAGTGAGTCAGAAAGCTCTGTTTGTCTTTTCTATTGAATAGTTTCCATTGCAGAAACTAAATATCTATAATCTGCAAGTGTTTTACCCTTTTGTGGAAAAAAAGATGGGGGCATTTTGTGCTATGAGCAGAATGTGAGAAAAGACTAAAGAAATGCTTCCAGGGTCTTCTGAAAAACTAACCAGCCCAAAGAATTTGGGCTATTCTTGAGCTTAGCTCCTTGACATATTTAATAAAGTGATGGGAATGTTTTAAAAAGATGGCCAAAAATGTTTTAATGAAATAACTCTTGAACAAATTTCTGAAAAGCCCCAACTTCATTAATCTAAAAGTGTTTCTCTTGTGGTGACAAAGGCCAAAAGGGGCCAACTTGACCTTGTGATTACAAAAATAGAAGAAATGAGTGAATCCACGTGCTCATAATTACATGTCAGCTCCATTTTTAAAACTTGTGCTCTTAAAATCCACCATGGCCTCGTCCCGTATCTTCAAGCTTAAACCAATAAGGATGCACCAAACTTTGAAACAACGTTTATTTTACAGAACTGTTTGCCTCTCCAGAGCTGGATTCAGCAGATAAAAAAAAAACACTTAGCGCTCCCGCTAACCTCTCTAATTCCAACCCTCCATTTTTTAATGGATCAGCTTAGCCGAGTCGCGTCACTTTAATGTGCTCAGTCATGTGTGCAAAATGTTAAAGTATGCAAGCAAACACACACACACACACACACACGCACACACACGCACGCACGCACACACACACACACACACACACACGCACACACACACACACACACACACACACACACACACACTTGCACGCGCACCGGTGCCAGGTTCACCCTGTAAATAGCTGCTGTGCTTTTGCAGTGGTTCTGGGCCACATCTGAAGGAAATGACTTTGCAAAAGAAGGTAAATCCTCTCTTATTGCTTATGTTAGCAGAAAGTTGTGTTCCCATTTCCAACCAAAACAAAAGGTGGATGGAGGGCAGAAACCAATAGAATTAGACAAATAATTCAAGTACAACTGAAAACATGACGTCTCTCATTCATGTGGAACAGTTGTTTTGTAAAAAGCAGAACATATAAAAGGAGACCACGTTGAGGATTCATGTCCATTCAGTCCCTTGTTGTTACCTGGATGAAGTGTGCTGATGTTTGGCAGTCCTGTACAGTAATTGTTACAATCGTGATTGCTATTTTCATATAAAAATCTTTTCTAAAATGTATAAATAACTCAAATGGATATTACATAAGTATATATTAAATAAATATAAACAACAACCATTAAAACATACCCTTTTCTGATGTGATGTACAAGTACACAGCTACTCTCTAACACCTTAACCACAAAGCAGACAAGATGTACGGTGGAAAGATGCCGCTAGTTCCCCAGAGTCGTATTTTTCACCCTAAATTATTTCACTCTCACATCAGATGTCTAACACGAGTCGGGTTTTCTTACTGAAGTACTGTCTGCTTGTATACAATACTGAACATATAGATCGTAATATCTCTAAATAATTACATAATTTGTCATGTGTAATGCTCGACGTGGTACGGCTTCATGGAGAAGTAGACTGAGGAGCATCAGATGTGTTAATATAGACAGAATAATGACCAGAATATAGAAACTGAATAAATAAACCATCTTTTTTTTCTTGTAGAGAACAAACTGGATCAAGGTGACATGCAGTTCTGCTCTCATTCCTTTTGCGGTGACCATATACCAAAAAGTTCGTCCTGTAATCAAAAAGTATCAGGGCTGAAAGTGAAGCAGGTCAGAGTTGAGCAGGATCCCATTCAGAGTGAGAGAAGAGAAATAACAAAATAAAAAAAAAAAGGGCGAAAAGAAGAAGCTGTGTCCGATTTGTGCCTATACTGTCCGTACGAGTGGTTTGTTAGCAGCACAAGTTTGGTGTCTGACTTTGGCTGTAGCTTTTCCTCTGGTGACAGCAAGGAAATGGTGGAAATGGGGAGACGTCTGTTTATTGATCTCAACACAGAAAACGTTCCTATCGTGTGTTGTCACCAGAATTGGAAACAAAGATTGTCTTTTAGCAAGCAAAGTCCTCAAACACCCCATGATGTCCAGCACGATGGTGGTGGGGGTGAGGGTGGGGGTGCAGGTGAGGTTGGTGGTGATTGGGGAGAATCGTGTTGGCGTATGCCCCGTCTGGGTGACTCCGTGTCATGTCATCTGGCTCCTGTTGGAAAGAGAAATATAAACTAAATACTGTTAAACAAACAGATGTAAATTCGCTTTTTAGGTTTGTTTCCACTATCTGAACTCCCAGGTAATTTTACCAGACCTTCACGAGGTGTCTCCATTTCATCGGACCGGCCCAAATGGACCACTTTCTGGATATTTCCGAGACCATCCATTACCCGGACTGGAGTATGTACTCCGAAAAGGTCCAGTAGAGTCATTAGGCAGGACTTGCGGTTAAATAATACTGACTGGTTGTAACTCGGGTAAATGATCTCAACCAATGTTGCCAAAAAACTGGTATTGACGAAAATAAAAGAGTTGCTTAAGAGGCTGAATGGAAGGGAAAAAGGATCAGCAGTGCTAGTGCTTTTTAGACTAGCCGTTTCTAAACTCCTGAAGCCAAAACCTGGCTAAGAAATCTCCCAACAGCGGCATAATTTACGCTGCTTTGTGGTCTCTTAAAGTGACAGTGTGTAATTTTTCTGGTGATAGCGGGCAGTAGACACCTAAATCGTTGCAACCAAGCAGTATTTTTGTGTTAGAGTAAGACCTTACCAACGAATACCCATTAGGGTCAAAAAGCCCTGGGGAGTGTAAACTTTAGCGAAATAACAAGCACATCAGACTCCCTTTCATCACTGGCAACAAGTGAAGAGGTAAATGTGTAAAACAACAACATTTAAGAATGACGAAAGTTTTGTAACCGTTTGTTACAAATCAGTAAATGCATTTTGTCCTCATGGGCTCCTGTAGAAGGAAACATGACATCTAAAATGGCGTTACCCTGAGACTAAGACCCACTCCCATGTACTTTAGACCTGATTTTTATGGTTATATGTTATGAGGCTGCCAATATTTTTCAACAACTGGGCATCATCTCATTCATTTTCAACAACATTATGAAGAATATTTCCAGAAATTAATGTTATAAACTACACATTGTCTCTTTAAAGAGCACCATTTATTTCTAGTGACTAAACACAGCCACTATCACCTTCCTCTGAATGACACAAAATACAAAGTAATTTGACAGAATAAAACTTTTTAAATGTAATTAATGTCTGTGGAGGCCTTTTGGAACTAATACATGATGTTACTCACTACAGAAAAAGTCACAGTATCTTAGCAAAGTCCTGAAATGGACAATTTTTAATGGAGACAACAGCCAAGAGGACTGAAGCTTGGTTTATGCTTGACGCATTTACTTTCCGCTTGGTGATGCGGCTCGCGGATGGAACGCGCTTCACAACTTGCAGCGTTTATGGTTCATGCGGCTTGTCTCTGCGGGGAGCCAATATTCTCCCAAACTGTAGGGGGCAGCATGGAGCTCTACGGCATGCATCCATCACTACACCATAGTAGAAGTAAAAATTACTGTTGTTTACAACATGGCATTCCAGCATTTTTAACAGCATCCTCATCTTTTCCGACAGTGCGAGCTATTTCTCTCCAAGAATTATTAACAACGTGTGGATCATGGTGATCTTTGAGAGCTGAATGATACAAATGTCTGTATTTACGAACCTCTGCCATACCAGTTCTTGTCAGTCCGCCATGTTTTTCCGCGTCTGACTGTCCACGAGGTTAGAAAATGTCTTAGGTGCGCGGTGCGGAAATTTTGGGCCGTGCGAAGGGGCGTGGTTGTTTAAATGACGTAATTCGCTGCGCGGAGCCGTGCGAACCTCGCGGACGCGTCAAGCATAAACCACCCTTAAGCCATCGCATCCCCCCCCCACCACCACCACCTTTACCCCTCCCAGAAATTTCCCGGAACTCCAATAGGGAGCCTAAGCCATGTCCATCTACTTACGGACCATGGGTCCCTGGAAAAACAAAAAAATGAATGCAAGTCAATGGGGATAAAAACGTTATTTTCTAATTCCGCTTGTTATGTGCCATGGATTTCACATATGATGTCCATGAATTTTAAATACGCATTTTGATACGAAGAATGTGCTTATTTTTGAACAAGCGGAAATGTTATTTTAGGTTTTGTGCGAAAATAAGTCCAGGACTACAAATACGCATCACGAAAGTGACATCATTGAACCAGACACAGAGAAAAACAGAAGGAAAATGGCCGTAAGTTCAGCAAACTTAAAATCCTTCCTTCAGGAGGCAAAAACCCCCCACCATAAATCAGGCCATGTGGTACGTAGCTACAGTCAGGTCCATAAATATTGGGACATCGACACAATTCTAACGTTTTTGGCTCTATACACCACCACAATGGATATCAAATGAAACTAACAAGATGTGCTTTAACTGCAGACTTTCAGCTTTTATTTGAGGGTATTTACATCCAAATCAGGTGAACGGTGTAGGAATTACAACAGTTTGCATATGTGCCTCCCACTTGTTAAGGGACCAAAAGTAATGGGACAGAATAAGAACCATAAATTAAACTTATACATTTCAATACTTGGTTGCAAATCCTTTGCAGTCAATTACAGCCTGAAGCCTGGAACACATAGACATCACCAGACGTTGGGTTTCATCCCTGGTGATGCTAGGCCTCTACTTCAACAGTCTTCAGTTCCTGCTTGTTCCTGGGGCATTTTCCCTTCAGTTTTGTCTTCAGTAAGTGAAATGCAAACTCAATCGGATTCAGGTCAGGTGATTGACTTGGCCATTGGAAAACAGTCCACTTCTTTCCCTTCAAAAACTCTTTGGTTGCTTTTGCAGTATGCTTTGGGTCATTGTCCATCTGCACAGTGAAGCGCCGCCCAATGAGTTCTGAGGCATTTGGCTGAATATGAGGAGATAATATTGCCCGAAACACTTCAGAATTTATCGTGCTGCTTTTGTCAGCAGTCACATCATCAATAAATACAAGAGAACCAGTTCCACTGGCAGCCATACATGCCCACGCCATGACACTTCCATCACCATGCTCCACTGATGAGGTGGTATGCTTAGGATCATGAGCAGTTCCTTTCCGTCTCCATACTCTTCTCTTCCCATCACTCTGGTACAAGTTGGTCTTGGTCTCATCTGTCCATAGGACGTTGTTCCAGAACTGTGAAGGCTTTTTTTAGATGTTGTTTGGCAAACTCTAATCTGGCCTTCCTGTTTTGGGGCTCACCAATGGTTTACATCTTGTGGTGAACCCTCTGTATTCACACTGCTGGAGTCTTCTCTTGATTGTTGACTTTGACACAGACACACCTACCACGTGGAGAGTGTTCTTGATCTGGCCAACTGTTGTGAAGGGTGTTTTCTTCACCAGGGAAGGGATTCTTTGGTCATCCACCACTGTTGCTTTCCATGGTCTTCCGGGTCTTTTGGTGTTGCTGAGCTCACCGGTGCATTCCTTCTTTTTGAGAATGTTCCAAACTGTTGTTCTGGCCACGCCTACTGTTTTTGCTATCTCTCTGATAGGTTTCTTTTATTTTTTCAGCCTAATGATGGCTTGCTTCACTGATAGTGACATCTCTTTGGATCTTATCTTGACAGTTGACAGCAACAGATTCCAAATGCAAATAGCACATTTGAAATGAACTCTGGACCTTTTACCTGCTCATTGTAATTGGGATAATGAGGGAATAACACACACCTGGCCATGGAACAGCCGAGAAGCCAATTGTCCCATTACTTTTGGTCCCTTAACAAGTGGGAGGAGGCACATATGCAAACTGTTGTAATTCCTACACCGTTCACCTGATTTGGATGTCAATACCCACAAATAAAAGCTGACCATCTGCAGTTAAAGCACATGTTGGTCATTTCATTTGATATCCATTGTGGTGGTGTATAGAGCCAAAAATGTTAGCATTGTGTCCATGTCCCAATATTTATGGACCTGACTGTAGAGGAGAAGAGATCCTGTCATAAATGCAACGTGCTGATGTCTATTTTGTAGTCATGCTAATTACGAACTTTTACAAGCTGATACATCTCAAAGTACTTAACTTGTGTGGTCGAAACACCCATCATTAGTTTTAATTTAAATTGCAGTATAACATATGTGCGATCCAGGGCGTAAGGCAAAGCGGATTACAAAATACCTCTTTTAGCCCCTTTGACTTGAATTCATTTTTTCATTCTTCAGGGGACCCATGAGCCGACCGGAAAGGGAGGAGACTAGAGAGCCTAGTCTCAACGAAAAAAATGAACGCAAAGTAAATAGAGCTATAAAGGCTATTTTCTAATTAGCAATGCCTTTCACCCCAAATCACACTACTTTATTTAAATGAAAACTAATGATGTGAGTATCAACTATGTCTGTCACGTACTTTGTGAATTGTTAGCTTGTAAAAATTTGTAAATAAAATTACTACAAATCAGAGATCACCTAATGACATCATGGAAGAATATCACTTACTTACCACATGGCCAGATTAATAGTGGTTTTTACCACGTTTAATGCTCCGTCTGTCGTCCTGGAAGAAAGATTCAAAGCTTGCTAAACTCACAGTGATTTTCTTTTTCGCGTCTGGTTCGATGACGTCAATGAGGTGAGACGCATTTGTAGTCTGACATGTCTTTTCACAAATAACCTAAAATAACTTTTGCCTCCATTCGAAAATGAGCTCATTCTTGGCATCAACACGTGTCTTTAAAAGCCACGGACATCATATGTGAATTCCATGACACATATCAAACGGGATTAGAAAATACAGCCCCACTGACTTGCATTTGCTTTTTAAAATTTCCTGGAACCCATGGTCCGGAAGCAAATGGACATGACTTAGTGCAATCACGACTATCAAGTTTATTGCATAACCAGATATTTTTAACCAGTTGGGGTATATCCACTTCACTAATATATTGTTCCTTCACCTCCATTCACTGGGACTCCCCAACTTCCCACTTTTAAAACCTCTGGTGTCTACGACTGCTAAGCCAAACCTCCCATCATCTGTCACGGTTACATCATTTAGAGCAGAATTCCTCTCAGTAACGGGTAGATGCATGATAAGAAGTCTATTGTTCAGAAACACGCAACTTGTGAATGAAGTTGTGCAACAATAAATCTGAGCTCCAGGGGAGGTTTTGCTTAGCAAAGTGGTTGAGATTAATTAAAAACATTACACTGCTCAGTCTTCTAGGACAGAGGAAGAAAAAAAAGAAATTAATTTGCTTCTTATTCATTTCTTTGGCGTCTAATACAGTTACAGTGCTGCAGGGTAAATTGTACAATCTGTGTGAAAACAGGGTAAGATTAATTAGTTGCAGTGCAGTATTTATCCAGTACCTTTGCTTTCATTTCTTCTAGACCAACTGTTGCAACTGTTGTTGTCGGCTGCTTGGTCTTCTTCTCCTCTTTCTGCGGTCTCAGCAGACGTTGTAGCCGGTGCTTGATCACCTGATTTCACCCAGACCACAGCAGCAGGCAGAGTTAAAGAGCAGAAATAAGGGAAGGTGACAAGAAGTGCAGTGGTAAGCAGACTTCATCCTACATGATGTGTGGATTACATTCTTTCCCTACTTATTGACTTTATTAATGCATGTTTGGCAGTCAGCAGCAGGGCCAGAGCCAAAGGGCCTCAGACGCACTCAGGGAACTGGAGATTAATCTGGAAACTTCGTTTCAATCAAGTAGTCAAATATTTATTAGTTTAGAACATCATGTTTATAACTAATTTAAGGCTGAAATAAAAAAATGGTGAAAGGGCCAAAAATACGGAAACACTGCATGATGTAGAACTTTAAATTTGTAGATTTGCTAAAAGAAAAAAGGCAGAATAAATGATGGAATTAATACAATAAAATGACAAAATTAGGCTGCATTACCCCAACTTCACACTGGAGGCATCTGCGGCACGGAACGGCAGATAAACGTTGCTTCACATCGAAATACATCCATTATAGGCAATGGTGTGGACATTTTCAAGCGCGTCCCAGAAGCAGCTCGCCACAACTACAAATAAGATCAGGTTCTATTTTTGCTGCGAGCCACTCTGGGACACGTCAATTTCTGCAGTTAACATAGAGCTAGACAAGAAATCGCACATGGTTTCAGTGTAAAATGTCCAGTCATTTTCAAAATAAAAGATGTTAATTAAATGAAGTGTATAACATTTGAATAAATGCGTACTACAAATTCAATAAAAACCTCATTTTGATTATTTTGAGTTTGCTTTATCCCTCCTTAATAGGTAAAAATGTGTGTTTACTTCATAGGAATGTTTATGGTATGTTTTGTGTATACTTAGTGAAGTGTGCTGTTGACATTTTTAACTGAGTTACTAAGATTTCTGTTGCTGACTGCATTGACAACTACTTAAAAGCTGCAGAAAACACAGCTGCTATCTGTGTGTGTAAAACATTTTTATCCATGTTTTAGAGAATCTAATCTATTAGATTTGAAAAATTATACATCAACGTGGCAAAAATCAAAAGTTAAATTAAACTACTGTTGTGTCAGCTGCTTCCAAAGCTTTGAGGAGCTGCATTTCAAACAATTATTAGTTACATGATCAGCATTCGAGCAAATATTTTACTCCTGCCTGAGAATCAAATAAAACCTCTTACTAGCATAAGTGACAACATTAATGCTTCCGGCTGCAAGCTAAGATAATCACATCATTCTGCCAAGTAGGAACGCTCAGTTGAAGGGAAACGATGAATCAATGGAAGCTTCCACTCAAAGTAAACCAAAGCAGAATAAAAAAACATTATAGCAGCAATATATATGACAGCCTGGGACTTAAAAGGTAAGTGCCAAGTAGATTTATACAGGGTAAATACTGGATATTTAGGACTACATGTTTATGGGAAATGGGTGTATTATGTGACTTTTTACCCTGTTTGTTGGATATATACGAGGTACTTGCAGGGGTATGTACAAGGCACCTTTGGGGTATTTATTAGGGATAGTGGGACATATCGGGCCCATATCTACCAATTTTTGATATTTGCATCAGCTGATTTACCTCCTTAGTAGAGCTGATATAAAGTCAGGCAGATCTGCAGGCAGCCCGGTGCTGCTGGAGAATTCTACTTAAATGTATATTCATGTTCCTGAGTAACATTTGATTCAAACATGCTTTAATACATTATTGTCACCTGAAGTGTAGTTTTTATTGGTCAGTTAGTTGATTTCTTTGATAACTTCGATTAAATGTTGGATTTTAATAACAGAATTAAGATTTAAGAAGCCCATTTAAATACATTTGCAGTGTTTCTAGTGGGAATGAGTGCCTTGTAAGTCATACTCTGGGGGAAGAATGTTCCAGTGTGCCTGTGTTGGGAACTAGAAGTGAGCCACATAAGAGATAAGCTTCAGACGACAGGATTTGAAGTCTTATTTCCTGATATTTGGACATATCGCCTGTGAATGGCTAACGGCAACGTGACTTTACCCCTGATTCTGTTAGCTCTAAAACGTGGATGTTTTATCTCCATAAATAACACAAGTCTGAAGGAGTTCTGCTGTGCGATGGAGTTGATAATGCTAACAGTTAGCTTCTACTAGCCGAGACTTTCTCTGCCATTTCCTGGATGCTAAACCAACAACAGCCTAACTCGTCGTGAGCCAAGATGGGTGAGTCCATGTGGTGTAGCTCTGTCAGGCTTTTCTAATCTTGGAGTTTCACCGTCTATTTTATCAGAAGCTAATGCAGGAGATGGGTGTAGGAGACTATTTTCATGTTCAGCCTGCATGAAAAACTCAGTGACTGATTATTACCAAAAATAATAAGTAAAAATGGTTTTTCAGTGAAGGAGTTGGTCAAATTTAGTGCACAAAAACTGATTCAGGGTCAGAAATGTTGTGCATCAGCAGTTGCCATTAACGACATTTCAGCATGCAAATAAGGCAAAAAATATCTAAATATCGGCCATAAAATTTGTCCAAAAATTGGCAGCACATATTGGCCATTGGCTGACCATGACCTCTATACATGGTTGTGGGGAGGATGCCGGTCAGACCAGGCAGGCCCAAACGTATCGCGAGGGTCTGCTGGGAACGTCTGGCAGAGTCTCCTGTCAGAAGGAGCTTCAATTCCCACCTCCGACAGTACTTCCAAAATGTTCCGGGGGAGGCGGGAGACAATTAGTCTGAATGGACCCTGTTCCGTGCCTCCATTGTTGAGGCGGTCGACTGGAGCTGTGGTCGCAGGATTGTCGGTGTCTGCCGTGGTGGCAACCCCCGAACCCGCTGGTGGACACCAGCGGTTAGGGATGCTGTCAAGCTGAAGAAAGAGTCCCATCAGGTCTTTTTGGCCTGTGGGACTCCAGAGGCAGCTGACGGGTACTGGCAGTCGAAGCGGAACGTGGCTCGGGTGGTCGCCAAGGCAAAAACCCGGTCGTGGATACAAGCGGCCGAAATGAGTTTTCTCCGAAGAGTGGTTGGGCTCTCCCTTAGAGATAGGGTGAGAAGCTCGGCCTTCGGGAGGGGCTCGGAGTAGACCCGCTGCTCCTCCACATCGAGAAGAGCCAGTTCAGGTGGCTCGGGCATCTGGTCAGGATGCCTTCCTGGTGAGGTTTTCCGGGCACGTCCAACCGGGAGGAGACCTAAAGGTAGACCCAAGATCGGTGGAGGGACTATGTCTCTCACCTGGCCAGGGAACACCTTGAGATTCCCCCGGAGGAGCTGGCCCAAGTGGCTGGGGAGAGGGAAGTCTGGGCCTCTCGCCTTAGGCTACTGCCCCCGCGACCCGACTTCGGATAAGTGGATGAAAATGGATGGATGGATGGACCTCCATACATCTAGATGGATGGACCTCCATACATCAACATCAGCAATAGAAAAAACAAAATTGGTTGATCTCTAGTATTTATACAACACTTACCCTTTCTTAAGTACCTGCTAGTAAGTACCTGGCTGTAACACCATCAGATCTTTGTTTCAAACTCAAACATAAAAGTCAGAATGTCGTTTTCTTTTTGAAATCCAGCTTGATTTAAACAATGTGTGTGAGACAGCAAAAACGGTACCTCGTATATGTAATCCAGTATTTCTAATACTGTCAGGATGCTGGCTCCAATGAATAAGCCCATCTGTCCACCAATGTCACCTAAAATGGAAGAATGGAAATATCTAAGAAGCACAAAGGACAGAAGGCTGAGGCTGCTCCTATTTGCTGCTCATGGTTATAAAACTCAACACCACCGCTTTGAAAACACCTTGTTCACTGCTTTGGTGAGCCTGTTTAAATTTCATAAAAATGAGAGAATCAAAGCAGAATCTTACCTAATAAACCTGCAACATCGTATGCTTTCTTTTGTTCGATTGTTTCATAGTTCAATGCTTCAAAGAAGATGTCCAAAACCAAGAAGTTGTCTCTGGAAAAAAACAGAAAACTAAAATTATAATTCACAAAAAGAGATTTAAGAAATTACTCCAATCTTCTTTATGCTCACTGGATGGGATTACTAGGCCTGTGGTGCTGAGAACAAATCTGTCCAGTGATTATGAGATAATGAAGTCTTTCAGGGCTTAAATGAGATAAGCAGGACGTGCACTAACGGTGTGTTTAGTCACTCGCATCTGGAACGTAAGTCTGGTCATAATAATGTTGTGAGCCATCATATGCTTTTTGGTTTAACCATATTTACCTTCTACTTATGTGACACCGAGGAGAATCACTCAAATTGACTCTAAATATTCACTGGTGGAAATTATCTTATGGTATTTGACAAACCATTTCAAACATTGGTTTATTATTGTTGTTTAGATTTAGATGGTTTGAATGACAAAACAGACAAATGGAAGTTAATTACACTAATAACAATAATTAAATTCTTATCCTATAACACAACACTGTAAATATTTACCAGCTGGATAGAATGAAAGACACGGATATGTGGTCTCAACATTCAGCATCCCATTACCAGAGTCAACATCAACTGATGCTTGCATACAATTTTAATTGGTCTTTTTACATTTATAGTATCTGGTTATCACAAACCGGAGGTCGAACTTTATGGTCCATGAAGCGAGCGACGTATCACTGCTCATAAGTGAAGTCTTGTTGAAGAATCTCTGATGTACCTGATGTAGTCCTCCGACTTGTCGTATTTCCTGGAGAGATACCGAGCCGAGCCCTTGCTGGGGATTTTGACCATGGAGAGTTCTTTACCATAGCGGGTGAGATTACAGGGCGTCTCGCATGGACAGGTATCCCCGCTGTTCTTCTGTAGCTGTGCTGCAGACACAAGGGCAGCAGAGCTTTTAACAGATATGTACAGATTCTGTTTCTGCATGAAGATTTTGGTAGTTCAAGAAATAATAATACTGTCTGCAGATCTTCAATCACATTTTCAATTACTATTTACGTGAAATCCTAACAAAACAGTCCAGTTTAAATCCATCCCAATACATGTCAGCTCAATCAAGCGTTTTTAATTCAGACACATCAACATATATGTACATTTCTATTTAAAAATAATAATAATATTATATATATATATATATATATATATATATATATATATATATATATATATATATATATATATAAACTGATTATAGGGGTTATGGATATATGTAATGTTTTTGGTTCACTCACTGGTGTTCTTTTTAATATAAAAAACTTATAGCAACAAATAAATTTCTAAACCTTTAGTTTGAAAGTAATCATTTTATAAATGAGTTTAAGGTGTATTTTTGTTTTAAAGTCAGGAAAATGTCCTATTTAATAACATGGAAGGGGCGGGGCTTTAATATTACTGCAGCCAGCCACTAGGGCGTGCCTGTAATGTTTCATCTTTAATTCCAGTCTCATCCCTGTAGTGTTTATATATGTCAAGATGTCAATAGAGCATGTGTTTCTATGCAGTTTTAAGGATTAGAGTAACACTAAATGGTTATTTAAACTTTAGGCTCGAGCTTTAACATTTATCTCTGTTGAGTTAGAAACTTCACCAGTTTCATATTTGACACCACTTTGCTGCCCTCTGCTGGCCAGATATTACACTTAACAGTTATATGGAGCAGGTAGGTGCTCTACAAAGGGAGCCCCTTACCTGCTTTACGGTTGTTAGAAGTAATGCTAGCAGTTAGCTTTTTCAGTTTGCTGATCATCAATTAAAAGATTAGGATGAAGAAAAAGAAGTTAGCTTTTTTGTTGGCATCATGGCAGTGCCTGCAAGTAAAAGTAAGACAGTAATGTCTTTGGAGGGCGAAGCAAAGAGCTAAAACCAGAGTGAACAACGGCACAGCCTACACTAGATTGAGGAAGCTAAAGGAGGCTACAAAATCACGGACTGATGGTGACCTAGCTTTGTTGCTACTGAACTTACAATATTCATTATCCAACACTGTGGATCTTTTACTTCAGTTTATTTTATTAGCAGTTGGCTTATGTTAGTGTTAGCTTGTTGTTAGCGCTAGCTGCAACAGACTGCAGCAAGGTTGTTTGCGACAGTTGTAATTCCACTTTCAGTCAGTAGGGCAGAGGAGCAGGAAATTGTTCTGTATTACTTTAACTCTAAATGCATCAGTTTAGGGGAAAAAATTCTGTTAGATTAAAAGTCTGCTAACTGGCAGAGGGTTGCAGGTTCGAGACCCTCTCAGTCTGTCATAGTCGTTGTGTTCTTGGGCAAGATGCTTCGGTCAGTGCGCCCCTGGGCAGCTGTGGCTGCAATGTAGCTGTTCACCATCAGTTTGTGAATGTGTGTGTGCGTGGGTGAATGACTGGTTGTGTTGAAATGTGTCTTGGGAGGTCGTAGACTCTAGAAAGCACTGTAAATACAGACCATTTACACTGAAAACCAAGAAAAGTTCAAACATGTTAAATATGCTTTGTTCCATTTCTGCTAGATAGCACTATCATTTTCTCATTAGTGACTCCCATTGTTTACACAGAGGAACAGCTGCTGCCCAGTAGGTTTCAAGTCTACTTGTGACATTATTCAAACCTTGTTTTAAAAAAACAAACAGTATTTTAAATGTGAAACAAGACCTTTTTGTTATTCTTTATTGCATTTATTGATTCAGAATAAAACTCATATTGAATTGCACTTTATTACGATTGATCGTTTCTGCACAAAAGGGGTCATTGACAGACTAAAGTGAGAACGTGTTGTCCAGGGACACGCGTCGGCCACAGATCAGAGACATGCAACTCAAATACCAGCAGAGTGATGGAGCAAATGGACAAAGATAGTTTGCAGCAATCAACAATAATAGTTTTCCTTTTTGCTTAATTGGTTGCACAACATTTTAACAGACCTGTATCCAACATCATTTGATGTAACATACAATAATGAGTGAATAGAAGTCAAACCTTTTGTGTTTTGCAAGGTTTTACACAAAAATGAACCTACCCATGTTTCTCACTACAAGCTTATTACCCAGAGCTGTGTGATTATTCAGCATGCCACTGCAGAACGAGTGCTTACAGTAATCATGTAACAATTGCTTTGCAAATAAATGATCAAGTAAAGTAAGTGGCGCTGGAGACTTTGCATAGTACCTTTTACTTAATTAGCATGCATACGTAAGTGGCTAGCATAATAACGGATACAAATTTATGATCCTAACTCTAAAACAACTCTCAACAACAAAGGAGCATAAATGGTTTTACTCAGTCATTCTTTTAAAATTCAGAAAGCATTCAGTTGAGGAAAAAAAAAGAGTTGAACCACTGAACACAGTAATTATGATTTAATGATTTATGTATTTTATAACTCTAACAATATGGGTATTTGTATGCAGGAGCGTGATGTCACATATTCTGTCTGATGTAGGAACAAAGCACTTCTAGAGTTTAAATATAGAAATTATATTTTAATGTAATTCTCTGATGGAGGGTGAACATTTTCACTCTGTTTGACTCCGGGAATATGACCTGCATGAATATGGCCCATTCTTACAAGATATATCAAAGATCTCATTCAGGCGTATTTTAAACAGGGTTTGAATTCAGTGAAAAGAGACATAATTAAATTTTCTGGCTTGTTTGGCTGAGAAATGATAATTGTGCTGCCAAGTCAATAAAAAGGCCCCTTCTTATTGGGATTTCTTTGAAAACTAAGGTTCAGTTATCTGCTGGTAGAGTCCAGGCTGAGGTGTGTGTGTGTGTGTGTGTGGGTGGGTGAAGATATGGAGAAATTAATTTGATTCAACATTAAAGGTTTAATACGTCAGCATAACATAAGAATTCTACATTCAAATAATCCCAAATCAGTCTAATGTGTCATTCATGCTAGAAGCAAGGTTACACTGAAACATACTTCTTTCTCAGTCAGATGGGGAGGTTGTCCATTTTTCTACTTTCAAACTAAAGGAAGGAGGGACGTAACTACATAGATATAAACATCTTCAGAGCTGAGCGTCAGCTCTGAAGGTTTGCAGCCGCAAACGAAACCGTCAGCAAGGTAAAGAAAGACCTTATCTGTGTCTAAAAAAGAACCAAAATGGAATGTAATAAGAAGATTTCATAATAGCCTGTCCTTTCAGGTGTAAAATAGGAAGAAAAAAAAGTATTTGTATTTACTGATTGTGTTTCCATTTCTGTTTAGTGGGGAGTTTATTATAATGGGAAAAAAAAAGAGAGGAGATTGTTTCTTACCGAGTGCTTTGTCAACACAGCTGATTTTACTGGGAGGGCAGATATCCGCGGTTCCTGGAAAGGAGAACAGAAAACGACTCTGATCAATCAGAAATAAAATAAGCAGTGACCCGCGTCCGCTGCAGTGAACAACACTCCAGCGCTTATCATTCATCTCTAAACGAAGGCAGGACATCCTTCCACATAACCCGGGCCATCTCGGATGCCTGCCCTCAATTGCATTGAGAAATGGAGCATATTGTCTCCACCCGGAGAGGCGTAGTTAGAAAGTCTTTAAAATCCAATCAATGAGGCACTAACTTGTAGACAAACACACTGCCTGGTCCATTAATGACAGGTATTCATAAAAATATAAATCATTTACAGAAGTGGGTTTCTCTGCCTGCTTCTATAAATGAAGAAAATGTAAGAACTTTCTTGCTAGGAATATTCTTTATTCAACATTTATAATGATATTCCTTAAATATCTAGATTTTTTTTATCTTTAGAAATTTAGAGTGTGAAGGAAAGAGCTGGCCTGTGTCAGCTGTCCACACATCAGGAACAGGAACAACTCAATAGGCTTTTTGGGAGGCGAGCCAAATATAGAAATAGACTGAAACACTAAAATATTCATCTTAGACCAGACAAAGATAAAAGAAATACCCCAAAACAAAAGAAACAGTTTCTTTTAGATATGAGTTTTTCAAATGGCTTCAATGTACCAACAAAAAAAAAACCTTTTAAAATGAATTTTAGAAATCTGTGAAGTTGTTTGACTTATTTTTTATCAATAAAGAATAAAAGAAGCTTTTCCTAAATGGGTAAGTCTATCTTTAGGGCTGCTTGTAGCACATCCTAACAAATTTAGTTTTATTTCAAAATTAGAGGGTGTGAAGTTTATTTCTGGAGACTCTGGTGAATGCAGTGCTGATTTTAAGGAGGACTGGTGTTGTTAATTTTGCTTAGAGCGCTAAGAGTTTGGACTGGGGTTAAGGTGGAGCTGTAATTTCGGTGCCATCACAGCTGAGGACAACTATGCATATAAAGAAATAAAAACTGTAATAAAAGTTAGATAAATGTGAAACGTATTTGCTGGATGAAAAACAAATGCAACATTCTCCTAGCCTGGAATCTACACCGTCGTCTGCCGGTCTAGCAACGCTCCATTGGAACCTCGCAGCCCTGGCCAGTAATGTTGCTGGCCAGTCACAGCACATTTGTTTTGGTTTTTGTTTTATGTAGTTCTTTCATGATATAATACAACAATTGTTCAATAAAATAAAAAAATATCTATCTATCTATGTTTATCAGAGAGCTTCAACATGATACTTGACCAGTTTTATATTTGACACCACTCTACAGTCCTCTGCTGACAAAAAAAACTACATGTGCTAGTTTTGTCCTAGGGGGTGTTCTTTATATGCTCAACAACTGTTAGTTATAACGCTAGCGTGACGGATGGCTGTTGTTCTCTATGAGCGTTGCGCTCCGCCTCCCATGCCAGCTCTTTAAAAGCCCCGATTGTGTCCATCTGCGCAACAGCATTTACCTGGCGTCCTGACAGACAGGTGGGGCAGCGTGTCGGAGCTGTACACTGGGTGCACGGAGGATTATTTTTATGGGATCAGTGGTGTGGATGTGCCGATTTACCCGTTGTCTGTGAGCCCTTCCCATGAGACATAACAGAAAGCGCTGGCATTGCTGTTTTTGTTCCGTTGATTATTTTGTTAGTTATCTTTTTTCCCTTTTATGAAACTCCGAATGTTTTTGAGCTAAAACCAGAGTGAACATCTCAGCAGCCTATGCTAGTTTGAGTGAGCTAAAGGAGGCTTCAACATTTTGGGCTGATGGTGACCGGGCTTTGTTGGTACTGGACTTGTAAGTAATAATAATTTTTGTCCAACAGAGTGGATTATTTTACTTCATGGTTTATTAGTTGGCTCATGTTAGCTCATTATTAGCGCTAGCTACGGCAGGCTGCAGCAGGGTTGTTTACAACATTTTTAATTCCAATTTCCGTCAATAGGGCGGAGAAGCAGGAAACTGTCAAGTGTGAAGAAAAAAAAATCTTTTTCTTTTTACAAAAACTACATGACTAAAAAAATCATTTGGAGGCATGAGTATAAGCAGGATACATCTGATTCAGCAGACACAGAAAAAGAAGACAATATGAAATATTTTAGACATTTGACACCACATTCTGTGGTCGCTTCAAGGCAGTAAAGTTATTCTCTCTTATTGTCTCGTGGCTAACACTTCACAACCTCATGGAGTCATATCTGTTGATATTAACCAATAAATTTTACTTGAAGTTTGAAGTGAACTAATGACAGCAACCACCCAAACCAGCAGCCCAGAAAAGCCTTTATATTTGTCTGATGTAATAAATAACAAATATCTAGTCTCCACATCAGTGCAAAAATAAAGATTAAGCTGCCAACTGTCTTTGTTTAGACAATATTTCATTGTCATTGAATCAAGGTTATTAGAGACATTCTTGCAATTAAGACACATAAAATGTGAAATGTGTGGCTTATCTTGATCTGAAGAGATTCCCAGCTCCTCCAGTAAAAAGAAGTAATGGATACCAGTGAATGTTTTATTAGGGGATAAAAAATGTATTTTTCAGATATTTAAAATGAATCCTTCTGATGTAAGTAAAACAATCAGGGCTGCTTCTGCAATTTCAGCTAAAGAGTGTCTAATGCTGATCTCTATAGGCACCTCCGGCATCATTAGCAGAAAGTGCATTTAGAAAAAAATAAACCACACACAAAGCAACTGTAGAGCTTCAAGGGAGCAAATTGTTGTCTGAAAAGGACGTGTCTGACAAACTGCCGTGAAAAAAATAAGGTAGGTAGGGAAGCTACTCTTGAGCCAGAAACATGAGCAGGTTCGCGTTGGACAGCACTCTGTAGACCAGAAACTGCACTTACAAGTTTTATGGTTCGGTAGGAAAACTAGTGGGAGGCCTACTTGCTTTACAGCAACGGCTGCAATGTGCTGGTAGCTCATATAAAGGTTAGAAGTTAGCTTTATCAGTTTGCTGACCATCGCTAAAAAGCACAAAAATAATAATAATTTTGTTTAGTAAATTTGCATTATGGTGGAGCCCAAAAGTAAGAGAGCAGCGGAAGCAAAGCAAAGAGCTAAAACCAGCAAACATCGACGCTGCCTGCACTTGTTTGAGGGAGCTAAAGGAGGCTACAAAATTACAGACTGATGATGACCTGGCTTAGTTGCTGTTGGACTTGTAAGTAACATTTTTAGTCCAACAATATGAATCTTTTAGCTTCGTGGCTTATTTTAGCATCAGTTGGTTCGTGTTAGCATTAGCTCGTTGCTAGCGCTACAGCAGGCTGTAGCTGGCATTTTTACGACAGTTGTAATTCTGCTTTCAACCAAGGGGGAAGAAATGGGAAACTTATTTAGGGTTTCTTTAAAAAAGAAAATGATCAATGTATAAAAACTTTAAATACCTCATGGGTGAGTACAATATTCAAGGAGTGGTAAAAAATGTCGATGTTAGAACAGTTTTAAACTTTTTGCACAATGTTTAACATGTCTAAAATGTTGCATCTTCGGGTTTTGTAGGCGTTTCAAGAAGAAACTGGAAAATGATTTATAAAAAAACACAACATGGAGCTGTAAAACAACCATATTGTAACCTAAAAGCCTTTTACATCCCAGAGGGATTTCCTATAGAAAACATTTCAGTTGCAACAACGCAGAGTCTAAACCAGCTTCAAATGTTCTGCCTTGAATGTGTCACTCATATTTGTACGGTTTGTAACTGTAGTGTGAAAACAGCGAGTTTCCTTCCTCAAACCAAAAGCTCCTCCATTCACAGAGAGCCACATCAGTCATTTTGCATCCAGTGACTCAGCTGTTTGATTTCCTGCTCTTGAGTCTTGATGACGTGCCCACAGAGGGAGTCCAAACATCTCACATGGGGTTTGTCAGACTTTGCAACGTCTTCCTCTTCTGATCAGAGGGAGCTGTTACAACAGTAATCAGTGTTCTTCTAGAAAAATCCTAATTCTAACAGACATTAATTTGCATCACGTTTCAACAGCTGTTAGATTTATTACCATAAAATCCCATACTGATGTTCATTCTCTCCAGATGACAAACCCCACAGATTGTTGGATTAAAAGTCAGGAGGTCATCACAATCTAATGACTGCACACCCTGTACCAATTAGGATAAATTATGGCGACTTTGATGATGCCTTTCATTTTCATAGGCTGTCATTATTTCAAAATTGGTTCATGGCCACATCAATGAAAACCAATTTCACTCCCATCAACCTCAGCTATGCTTTGCGTGTAGTTATGAGGATAAATGTCACCATGCTAACAGGCTAAACACAGATGGTAAACATGGTTAATATTACAGTGTGTGAGCTCAAAATGACACCAGTTTATGAAAGAAAAGAAAAGGAGCAGACAAAGAAATGAGCCAGCAGGTAAAGTTAAAGATTTTACTTTAAAAACGTGGCAGGAAGACTTCCGATATGAGTGAAGTAGACGCAAGTGAAAGGAGTTCCGTATAACCAACAGAAAAATGAACTAGAAAACACTGAACTGTAAAGAAAAAATAAGGAAAAGAAGGGGAAGCAACAATGAGCGGAGGAACAATGACTAAAGGGAAGAACAAAAAGCAGCAAGAAAACACAAGTAAGGATACAAAGCAGATGTTAACCATGGAGGCTACCGGGGAGCTAACACGAGAAGCTAGTTTGGATAGCATTAGCCTCCAGATACGAATGCTAAATGCCGAAATGAAGACCGAACTCCAGGTAAATAAAGAGGAGATTACAACAGAAATGAGAAAGGAGCTGACCGAATTCAAGAAAGATATTAATAAACTCCTTGAAAATATGGACAAAGAAATAAAAGAACAAAATGAAAGGATACAGGACAGAGAAGCACGAACGGACGAGCTCGAACAATGGAGCTGTGAAGCTAACAAGGCCATACAGCTCATACTGCAGGAACAGAGAAACATCTGAGACAAACTAGAAGATATCAAAGCAAGAGCAAGGAGGAACAACTTGAGGGTGTATGGAA